AGAGAGAGAGAGAGAGAGAGAGAGAGAGAGAGAGAGAGAGAGAGAGAGATTTATAACTGGCAGGATTCCCACTTTTACCCCTAGAGGTAAGAGGACTCATTCACAGTGATAATTTACACAAATCCCTGCATCCTGTCAAATTAAGGCGGATCCCTCGCCCGTGCCCCGCCCCCATTCCTGCCCTCACACCTTTTAACATCAATCAGGCACATAAGCAAATATTTCTGATCCACATTCCCACATGGATGGGCTTTGATGACAAATGCAGAAGCCGTACAAACTGAAAGCCCGCAGGAGCGCTGAACACGGGAGCAGCGAGGAACATAATTATCTGCTTAGGAGACTTTCTAATGTGCATGAAGGGACTGAGGAATCTATCTGTCTGAAGGAAACAGTCCCACCACAGGCTAGTTGCAGGCTAAACTCACACGCTACCAGGCAGCGTCCGCAACGTCCTAAGTGGACAGTTTCTTCCCGATCACATCTCCTCCCGAGTGGAATCGGAAATTTGCACAAGGATCCACCTTGGATACCAGTGGCCATCTTCCAGTCAGTCTGAGGCAAAGGATGAGCGGGTAAATCAGCGGCAAATGTGTGAATCGGGCTGTTCGCATGTACACGTCCCCATGGAAAATTTCGGAACCAGAGTCTGCATGTGTCCCGGAGTGCCCCCGTCAGCAGAGGGTACGACTGCAAACTGTATTTACGCAAAATAAAACAAAAGCAGCTGGTCTTGCTCCGTTTGTTTCATAAGAACAAAAACAAAAAACAGGATTTCAGTGATTTCTAATGACTTAAAGAACAGAGCAGAACATCTGCGGGATCCTCAGTAAAGCCACTTAAAATAATCATTGAAAATGTTTTGACTCATCTAAAGAGCCCCTTTAATTCCTAACCGTTTAAAGGCAGTAAGTAAATGGAGTGCCCTTCTCACTGACGATGACAACAGGAAGCACAGACAGGGGGACATTAGGGGGGCTTGTGAGGGCAGCAGGCCAGCTGGCAGGTAAGAGAGACACTGCCTTGTTGAGGTGTGTGTGTGTGTGTGTGTGTGTGTGTGGGGGGGGGGGGGGGGGGGGGGGTGGAGCATGTCAAAGCAGGATGTATGGGCGCTTTTCCACCGCACAAAGTACGGTACTTTCGGTACGGTACATTTGGTACTTTCGTTGTTNAAGCAGGATGTATGGGCGCTTTTCCACCGCACAAAGTACGGTACTTTCGGTACGGTACATTTGGTACTTTCGTTGTTCCATTGACTTCCCATCGAGTACCAGTATCGAAAGTGCCAAACCAGCTGGGGTACCCAAACGAGGAAACACAGGCTTTAATCGCCATATGGTCGGATGAACAGATCCAGCGGGATTTGGATGGCACGACTCGAAATAAAAAAGTATTTGCCGTAATATGCCGCTTGAAATCGAAAAGCAGGACTACAGGTTTGAATTCAGCGAAAGAAATACCATGACGCTTTGTGATGATGTCAGTCAGGGGCTGTCACTGATGATGTCATTTGGCACCGGTACCAGTTTTTATGTCAGTGGAAAACCAATCCAAAAAAAGTACCATACTTTTGCTACATTATGGAAGTACGGCACCTGGTGCAGTGGAAAAGCGCCCTATGTGAGTTTATGTATGTGTGTGTGTGGGGGGGGGTGGTTAAGTAATGGATGGAGGGCAGAGTGCAAAAAAAAAACAAACTCCCTCATTTCTGAAGTGTAACAGGAAGGGGCTGGGGTTCAATGAACAAGGGACCCAGGTGAGCGGGGGGGGGGGTACCGCAGGCACAGCTAACCCAAAGTAAACGTGCGTGCCGCGTCCCCCCCCAGCCGCTGCCCCAGACTCAGCTAATTTGAGTAATGGTACAGACAGGTGCTCCGGAGTCACAGGTCATCCAGACAGCCTGGGTCTGTCCGGCGGCTTCCCCAGGGGCCAGCAGGCAGCCACCCTCTTCATGGGGCTTTGTTCTTATAAATGAGGGGAGAGTTATTTAGTTATTTTAGTCATTTCCCCCCAGGACAGGTTTTACATTGACTTCAGAATGTAACCATATTTAAAAATACAGGGAAATATTCTAGAAGCTGCTGTCTGGTGCTACAGTGGCGCGTGCCCCTCCCCTCCCCAAAAGTCCATGGGGCGAAGCTGGAGCTCAGTAATCTGTCCTCATTGGGGGGGGGGGGGGTTAGGGGCCTTTGCTGCATGAACACTAACCCCCCTCTTGGACCCTAAGCCCAGCCGAAGAGCAGACGGACACAGGAAGGAGGTCTGAGGCTGTGCGTTCAGAAGAAGCTCCGGGAATTCCTCGAATATCCTGGTGCCTCTTCAGGGGACCTGAATGTCCTTAGGGTTGCACTTCTGGTCGTTCAATAGTCTTATTAGGCCGTTTGTTTTTCTCCTGTAGCTCCTGCTCCGATGCCGTTTGCACATGTGCCTGGGCATTGATTAGAAGCCTTGCCACCTGTAAGCCTTGTCGACCATGTGTGATTACAATGTGCCATTTGCCTCATTTTTACATCACTTTGAATAAATATGTAAAATGTTATGTAATTTTAAATGTAGTGACTTTTAGTGTTGAGGATGGTAGGAAAAATTTCTAATCAGGGAAGAGATTAGATTGCAGATTAGATATTAAATATTAGACTAGAGACTGTGTAAGCAATTATAGAACAAAGCACCAATCAGACGGCAGGGAAGGTTTAGTGCCGGGAATCACCGCGGCCCTGGTTAGCAAACACCACCCCGTCAGCATTTTGTGCCCGTACAGACTGCAGCCACAGTCTCCAGGACTAGGGAGAAGTTACTGAGAGATGACCCCCCCCCCCAAACACTGGGAAGATGGGTGCAGGCCTGAAAGGCAGCCATATATGGGCATCCTCCCTGTAGCACAGGGTATGACATCACTAGGTAGCAGACCGCTGCTGAAATCGTACACGCTACGGGGAACGACGGAAACAGCTGAGCAGCAGGGCCCGGCTGCAAGAGAAAAAGCCACGCAGACAAACGCAGTCATTGGCGACATTTTGAAGGTATTCGGTCAGTCCCTGAATCGATACGATGGCTGACAAACCACAGGAACCCCCCCCCCCAAATCCCTGGGAGTCTTTTCCCCTTTGGGGGCATACTCTGACTCACAGCCAGGTATGCACAGCTGAGAAAAGACAGACAATAGGAGGAAAGGTAAGCAGGCGGGGAAGCCAGGCCCTTAAGGGCAGCCCTGGTGAAGTCTAACTCACAAGCCCAGTCAGCTCAAACACGCCACCCAGTGGAAGAAAGA